GGAAGGGAGGAGGTGGGGCTGGAAAGGGAGCCAGGGGATGGGTGGGAAGGTTATTTGAAATTAAAGAACTCAATGTTGAGTTCTCCAGGTTGTAGGGTGCCCAGGTGGAATCATAGGTGTTGTTCCTCAAACTTGTGTTCTGAATCATTGCGACACTGGAGGAGGCCGAGGCCAGACATGTCAGAGGGGGTGTGGTGCTGGGGTGAGTTGAAATGGGCAGTCACCGGGAGGTTAGGCTGCCCGTTATGTACCAGGCAAAGATGCTCGGCAAAACCGTCACCTAGTCTATGTTTGGTCTCACCAACATAGAGAAGAGCACATCAAGATCACTGAATGCTAGACTAGATTGGAGGAAATGCAGGTGAAGCTCTATCTGGATAGATTGATAGGTAGACAGACAGCTAGAAAGAACAAATTATTGGTGCTTTAGTGTCAATAATTCACATGTTCTGGATATTTCTCCCTGGTTAATATACTATTTATTATTTAAAAATTTAGCAGATGCCTTTATCCGAGAGACTCATTACATACTCTGTACCGCACCTCACCCATTGTCATTCAATTCAACTTACATTGCACTTTTAATTTTTTTAATGATTGCAAAGTATGATCAGACTGTTTTTATTATCAGAAAAAGAAAATAACTCTATTTGACCAGTTCAGAAGAACAATACAGGCCAGAAATTAATGTTAGTAATAATAGAGAATATAATGAGACGAAAGATGGAAAAATCTCCAGGACTTCAAAGTAAGTGAGAAAATTTCATCATGATATCGCAAACTCTGTTCATTCAGGAATGTCACTTTGGATTGGAAAATTACCAATGTCAATCCACTGTTTAAGAAGGGTGGGAGTGGGAAAGTAGAAATGCATAGGCCTATTAGTCTAATGTTTGGTGCAGGAAGGTTAGTTGAACCTGTTTTTAGGCACAGAATGATTGAGCACTTAGAAAAATAATAAAAGGATGAGGAAGTGCTAATATACATCTGTAACAGGTGAATCATATCTAGGAATCTTGAATACTTCAATGTAACTAAAGAAGTAGAAAAGCAAATCTCTTTCGATATTGGGTGGCACACACTTCCAGAAGTAATTAAATACAATTTCTATAATAAAGATTATTTGTAAAACGAGAGCAAAAGGATGTGTTGTAAGGTGCTTGACTTTTATTATAATATATTTTAGTGTTTGGATTTGAGCTAGTGCCATGTGGGTTTTGGTCTCTGTGTCTGAAAGGGTTTAATGATTAATTGTAAGTATTTTTGTGGCTATGGTGCTTTCTATTAAAAACATAATGAGAGAAAATTCCTGCTGTGTAATGGGTATTTGTTTTCATTGGGAGAATTTTTACAAATGAGCAAAGTAAACAAAGGAAATGTGTACATCAGGCTCTTGGTTTAGAAGGTCAGAGATTATATTTTCCTTTTGATTCGGGAAACACCCATAACTTGGAAAGAAAGGTTTTGGTTTTCAGATTGGCAGTTTTTCAGAAGTCTTGGCTGAAGATGGATATGTAAAACTGTTGCTCCTTATGAAATGAGATGGTTTAGAGCTGTTTGGAAATAAGTACCTCAATATAAGTATTTTTATTTGAATGTTCCAAACTGGAAGTGTTTGGTTACAGCCCTGTAGGATTTGCTTGATGCTGAGCTCAGTTGTATGTAGCCTCTAGGAAGAAGCTACCAGATTATCAAGATGGGGAATTGAATCGAGTTAAAGTAAGTGCTACGGATGTGAAAGAAAAGGGAATTCTCCCCAGTGTGAGTACTGTAAAAGTTTTTGGGACTATGAGCTTACATTTTACTGTGTTTTGAAATATTTAAAGCTGTGTTATATGTAAGTAGTTTGATTTATTCTATTTTATTTTCATGTATTTTATGTAATAAACTTCTGTTTTATTTTTAAACCAAATCTGCGTGCATTGTGTTTCAGTGAAAGTCTACCTTATTAAAAACAATAAAAAGGATCCATCAAGTCAGATTTCAGCTTGGGGTCTATGTTGTCCAGTAATCAGCTGAGATCATAACATGGAATTGGAGGCACATGGAAAGAATTGGTGAGGAGATAGCAAACTGATTGCATGAGGCGGCATGGTGGCTCAGTAGTTACCTCTGTTGCCTCAGCACCGTGGACCTGGGTTCAATTCCAGTCTTTGATGACTGTCTGTGTGGAGTTTGCAAGTTCTCCCTGTGTCTGCATGGCTTTCCTCTGGGTGCTTTGGTTCCCTCCCACAGAAGGATATGTATGTCAGTTGAATTGGCCATGCTAAATTGCCCATAATGTCCAGGGATGTGCAGGCTGGGTGGATTAGCCACGGGAAATACAGGGTTAGGTTAGTAAGGAGGGGTAAGTCTGGGTGGGAAGCTCTTTGAAGCGTCAATGTGGACTTGATGGGCTGAATTGCCTGCTTCCACACTGCAGGGATTTTATGATAATGGGTGTGCATTCAATTTGGTAAGATGTGATTGTGCTGAACCCAAGGGATCTATGCTGGAGTCTCACTTTTCACATCTACAAAAGGCTTAGCTAAAAAAAATAGCAAGTAGTCTACACAAAGATGCTCGGAGCATAGAGTTAAATGGTGGAGTGAGTGAAGACAACTAAGAATCAACCATATTGCTATGGGTCTGGAGTCACATGTAGGTAGGTAAGGGCAGCAGATTTCCTTCCCTAAAGTTCATTAGTGAACCAGATAGGAATTTATGACAATTAACAGTGGTCATCACTAAGCTACCTTTTAATTCCAAATTTTATTGAATTTGACCATCTGCTATGGTGGAATTTGAACCCACATCCCCAGTATATTAGTCTAGAACTCTGAATTACTGGTCTATTGATATTACCACCACTACACAGTACTTTTTCTACTAGTCTGCTGCTGTTTATATTTTGCCCTTCTGGGCTACAGTGTCTCTTGTCTCACGACACTTAGTGTGATGTGGAGATGCTGGTGTTGGACTGGGGCAGACAAGGTCAGAAGTCACACGGGTTATAGGGGGTTATAGTCCAACAGGTTTATTTGAAATCACAAGCTTTTGGGGTGTAATCACTTTGTCAGGTGAAGTGAGAGAGAAACACACTGGCACAGAATTTATAGGCAGAGAGATCAAGGGCAGAGAGATCAGAAGATCATACAAATGGTGTGAAGTGCAGTGTCGAATAATAAGTCTCTGGAGATGATCAGAAGTGTCAGAGGTGGGAGTAAAGTGTCAATGGTTAAATAACAAGTGAAGGGATGACCTATAAATCTGATTAAATGAGGCAGAGAGATAATTACAAAAAAATTAAAAATAAGGTGGTGCTGGAGACATACTAAATGACTGGGATAACATGATAGGTATAACAGTCGCAGGCTGAGGGTCTAACCAAAGTAACAAGTAATTCAAAACTGTACAAGCTAATTAAGGTAGCGAGATCATAACAATTTATCAAAGTGATGGTGTCAAAACAGGACAGTAAGGAAGATTTTACAGATACAGAACAGTATAGTGGGGTCACATGTAGTGCGACATGAACCCAAGATCACGGTTGAGGCCATCGTCTTGGGTACTGAACGTGGCTAACAGTTTCTGCTCGGTGATTCTATGTTGTTGTGTATCTTGAAGGCCGCGTTGGAGGATGCTTACTTGAAGATCCGAGGCTGAATGTCCTTGATCACTGAAGTGTTCCCCGATTGGGAGGGAACATTCCTGTCTAGTGATTGTTGTGTGGTGTCCATTCATCCGTTCTTGTAGCATCTTTATGGTCTCACCAATATACCATGCCTCAGGGCATCCTTACCTGCAACATATGAGATAGACAATATTAGCCGAATCACATGAACATCTGCCGTGTATGTAGTGGGTGGTGTTCCCACATGTGATGGCAGTATCCATGTCGATGATCTGACATGTCTTGAAGAGGATGCCATGGCAGGGTTGTGTGGTGTTGTAGTAGAAGTTGTCCTGAAGGCTGGGTAGCTTGCTGCAAACGATGGACTGTTTTAAGGTTTGGTAGTTGTTTGAAGGCAAGAAGTGGAGGTGTAGGGATGATCTTGGTGAAGTGCTCCCGATGCTGCACTTCTCTAGCTTCCACCCTAAACATATTAAAGAAGCCACCCCCCACGGACAAGCCCTGCACACACACATCTGCTCAGATGAGGAGGAACGTGGCAGACACCTAAAGATTTTGAAGGACACCCTCATAAGAACCGGATATGATGCTCAACTCATTGATTGCCAGTTCTGATGTGCCACAGCGAAAACTGCAACAACCTCCTCAGAAGACAGACACAGGATACGATCAATAGAGTACCCTTACCGGTCCAGTACTTCCCAGAGCTGCAAGACTACACTACGTTCTTGCCAGCCTTCAACATGTCATCGATGACACTGAGCATCTTGCCAAGATCATCGCTACACCTTCAGTTCACACCCTCACTCTGACCCTACTCCATGGGAGGCCTTCCCTCTCACTGTCTCTGCTCCATGGGAGGTCCCTCCCCCCTCACTGTCTCTGCTCCATGGGAAGCCCCACCCCCTCAATGGCACCGCTCCATGGGAGCTCCCACCCCCTCAACTATACTGCTCCATAGCGAGGCTCCACCCCCTCACTGTCTCTACTCCATGGGAAGCCCCTCCCCCACAATGACACCGCTCCATGGGAGGCCCCGCCCCCAATGGCACCGCTCCATGGGAGCTCCCACCCCCTCAACTATACCGCGCCATAGCGAGGCTCCACCCCCTCACTGACTCTGCTCCAATGGGGAGGGTGAGGCTGAATGACCATGTGATCCTCGTGCGGCCTCAGCGCTTTCCGTTTCCGTCGCACATTGCTCTTACCGTCGTTAGGCTGAGGAGATGAGGCGGTGAGAGTCCCGGGTCCGCGGAGAGGGAGAGGGAGAGGGAGAGGGAGAGGGGGAGGGGCAGGGGCCTTGGAGAGCGGATGCCCGGGGGGGGCGGGGACAAGAGAGGGAGATATCGCGGAGCAGGGGCGGCGGAAGTAGAAAGGCGGGGAATAAGATGGTGGGAGAACGGCCCTGGGGAGTAACGTTAGTGTGGCTGCGCTCAGGCTCTGGGCCTCGACCGTTTGCTTGGAGCATCGGGATGGTGGGGCCCGGTCGAGGAGCCACAGAACTACCTGTGCATGTAATCTTATCCGCGGGAGGGGTGAGGGAGATTGGTAATGATGTTGAAGCGTACTGATTGCCATTCGTTCTCACTTTATCAATAGTCGATGATCCTGGTAACTACATCTGATCTCACAGGTTACACCCTGCAATGTTTCTAATCACCCCCTTTCTAAAGGTATAACATCTTAAGTGGCCTTAACTTCTCCATCCGCCCATCTGGTTTGTCTCAGACTGGGTTTAAGGTTAAATCAGTTTCTGCTCCTCTCAGAAAAATAAATTTGTAGATCAGAGTCCAAGCTGAAAGACTGAATTGAATCTTGCAAATAAACTGGATGAACATGTACTGACCAATGAGGCTGAAAGTTATTACACTGAATGGAATTTGTGGAAGTAAAATCTGAAAGAACTGTGGATGCTGGAAATCGGAAGCAAAAACAGAAATTGCTACAAAAGCTCGGCAGGTCTGGCAGCATCTATGGAGAGAAATCAGAATTAATGTTTTGGGTCCTGTGACCCTTCATTTGTGGAAGTAGTTGAGTCAAGATTGTATACCCAAAGGATTCCTTGTTGGGTTTGATTCAGTGTAAAGTGGAGGCTACAACTCCCTAACTGGACAAGACTAGCTTACTTCCTCTTGCTGTCATTAGACATTTCAAATGCAAACTCTGGAAATTTTTGTGTTAATTGAATGTAGGAGATAGGAGCAGGAACAAGGCCATTTTGAATCCTTGAGTCTTTTCCACCATTCAACTCGATCAAGGCTGAACATCTATTTAAATTCCATTATTATGCACTATTTTGACATGGTTTAGTATAGCAAAATCCTATTGTCTGTGAAGATAAAATTGGAAGAAAACCTCAAATTAATAAATGATAGGCTTGGCAGACTGCATACATGGTGAGCAGTTCCTACATCAAGAAGTTTAGTTTTCTTTGAAACCACAGAAAAACAAAAGCTGGACTTGGGTGACAATGTGTACAGAACACTGACACAGAAGCAAATTTACAAATGCCGGGCACACGAAATGCAAGACTATTTTATCTTAATCTGTCCCTCTCTGTCTTGAATATATTCAAGCGATTGTTCCTCCACAGCCCTCTGGGGAAAGAGAATGCCAAAGATTCACCACTGTCTAAACGAAGAAGTTCCTCCATGTCTTAGTCTTAAGTGGCCTGCTTTTTATTTTGAAACATTGTTCCCTTGTTCTACACTCACCCTCCCTTGCCCTTAGATTGGGTAACATCCTTCTTGCATCTACTCTGAAGCCCTGTCAGAATATTACCTGCTTCAATGGTGATATGTGTTATTAACCAACATACTCAATTTATTAAAACACAATAACAATTCCTGAATAAAGTAGTAGCGTCGTAAATAATGGATAGAATCCATTTTGAAAAACCCACAGTGTCATTGGAAAGTGTGATTATGGACAGGTCTGTGCAAAGAAAACAAATTTCTTGTCCTTGCTGTTCACTGATTTCTTACATTAAGCAAGCAAAATAATTTTGTGTGCAATTGCCATTAAATAGGCATGTTTTGTCCCTGGCCTCCTTTAAAATTTTATTGTGCTCTTACATCATGTCTTTTTTTTCATTAAGCTTGACTGACAGCTAGAAATGTAAAGCAACATTTAAAAGTTAAAACCTTGATACATACTTTATGAAGATGTAAAATTTAGTACTTTTAGGTTTTTCTTCTCATTGCTAGTTGTTTAATCGCCCAATGTCTTGAACATACTGTCGGAAAATAACTGTCAATGGACTGCCATCTTTGGCTGGCTGTATTGAATGTGTGTGTGTGTCCCTGAATGAGACTGTCCATGTACAAGATGTAGGCAGCTTCTGAATGGAGGGCTGTGACTAGTGGTGTTCCTCAGGGATCAGTGTTGGGATCTTTACTGTTTGTAATATATATAAATGATTTGGAGGAAAATGTAACTGGTCTGATTAGTAAGTTTGCTGATGACACAAAGGTTGGTGGAACTGCGGATTGTGATGAGGACCGTCAAAGGATATTGCTAGATATAGATCAGTTGGTGACTTGGGCATTGAGATGGAAGATGGAGTTTAATCCAGAAAACTGTGAGGTATTGCATTTTGGAAGGTCTAATCCAAATGGAAAATACACAGTAAATGGCAGAACCCTTAAGAGTACTGACAGACAGAGGGGTCTGGGTGTACAGGTACATAGGTCACTGAAAGTGGCAACACAAGTGGAGAATGTAGTCAAAAAGGCATACGGCATGCTTGCCTTCACTGGCCGGGTCGTTGAGTGTAAAAATTGGCGGGTAATGTTGCAGCTTTATAGAACCTTAGTTCGGCCGCATTTGGAATATTGTGTTCAATTCTGGTTGCCACACTACCAGAAGGATGTGGTGGCTTTGGAGAGGGTACAGAAAAGATTTACCAGGATGTTGCCTGGTATGGAGGGCATTAGCTATGAGGAGAGGTTGGTGAAACAGGCTGTTCTCACTGGAACAATGGAGGTTGAGGGGCGACCTGATAGAGGTCTACAAGATTATGAAGGGCATGGACCGTCAGAAGCTTTTTCCCAGGGTGGAAGAGTCAGTTACCAGGGGCCATAGGTTTAAGGTGCGAGGGGCAAGGTTTAAAGGTGATGTACGAGGCAAGTTTTTTTTACACAGAGGGTGGTGGAGTGCCTGGAACTCACTGCTGGGGGAGGTAGTGACTTTTAAAGGGCGTCTTGACAATTACATGAATAGGATGGGAATAGAGGGATACGGTCCCCGGAAGGGTAGGGGGTTTTAGTTGTGACAGGCAACATGTCGGTGCAGGCTTGAAGGGCCGAAAGGTCTGTTCCTATGCTGTAATTTTCTTTTTTTCTTTGTACTCTATTTTCTACACTGGATATATTAATGGCTGGTGATTCAGTGCAGTTGACAAATCGTTAGATCAAAATTAACCTTCTAATCCTTGAGATCCATGATATTCCAATGTACTGAGTTAACTGTGTTAGTACCTTTTCAAAAAAACACTCCTTTTTTAAGAGTGTGTTTTTGGTAATGAATAACCAACTTCTTCTAATCCAGCTTTTAATGATTGAAACAATATGGCCTCATCCAATAAATATTTGCTGTTTGCCCCTATGTTGATCTAGTTGGATTGCAGGCATTCTAAGGATACCACTTCTACTCTTTCGAATGTTTACTTAAATTGTGGAAATACCACCCCAACATAATAACTTTAATTTTTTAAAAGTTTCATTTCAGCAACTGACAGCTTTAATAGTTAATTAGAAGCATTGAGTTTGAGAGCCTGAATTAGGATTACTTGTGTACTAATTCATATGTTAAACACTTGGTAGTCTAGTTAGGTGGGATTCCTGTGTAAATTGCAAGTATTTTAAGTCATTATGTGATACACTTATTAAACCAGCAGATGTTTTCTGATGTGTTTAGCAAAAGTCCGGCAAGGAGGAAACGTCAATATTTGTAAGAAATATTTTAAAAGGCATGCTTCAAATCAAAACATTTCATGTAACTTATTTACTTGTATTGAAAATTTCTGATTTGTATTATTTGTTGTACTGGAGTGTATGGAATAGATCTAGCGGTGATTTAAAAGACTAGCATTAGGTCTACGGAAGGAAAGCATGACAGGTCACCAGTTTCAATTCTCACTGAGAAGTATGTATAAATAGATTAAACCTCTTTCATATTAAGAGTATTTTGCTGTTAAGTAGTGCTGAACAGCTGCTACACAGAAACCTATTTTGTACCAATTTGATCGAACTGTATGTGAAAATTAAAATGGGAAATTACGAAAACGATTTGAACTAAATTTGAATTCCAAATGTTATAGATCTGAGGTTGTATGTTTAAACTGAGAAAAACTATTACAAAACTAGTCAGAAATTGCGGTCTTTAATCCTTTTCATGTGGCGTGAAATCTAACTAGAGAAGAAAAAGATGGTGCATAATTATTCAGAATTTATGTAAATGCATTTACATTTTTCCGGCTTGCAGGACAGAATGACTGATATTCGCCATTCCCTTTTGAGGCGGGATGCTTTAAGTGCAGCAAAAGAACTCCTTTACCATTTGGACATCTTGTTTAGCAGCCAGCTGCAGAATGTGCCTGGTCCACTTGTTGACAAGTCCACCATTGAGCTTGTGGAGGAATTTATATTCCAGCTTTCAAAAGAACGTAATACTCAACCAAAAGTAAGTTAAGGATACAGATTATGTGAGATTTTCCATTGAGAGAAATATGGTTTTCAAATTCCTTGCTGAGTTATTAAAGCTTGGCTATGAAAGCACATGCATGTTACTTCTCTTCTTGTTTATTAAAATTCTGTAATTCTGATGACACAAAGTTTTTACTCAACCTTAAGATCTCATCATTTATTTGATTATACTTGTGTGGGAAAGTGCACCTATGTTAATAGAGAATTTTTTTGCCAATCATTATCTAAAACTGTGTAAACGTGGAAAATGATCATCTTCAAAGAGTATTTTCTTAAAGTATGTATTTATAGTAAGCTTTTTAAAAAATTAAGTTATATCCTATGGAAGTTTAACATTAAATTAGGAAATATAGTGTCAGGTAAATGGTTCAATCAGAACCGTCTTCATATGGGTTATGAAATGGGGTTTGTGTCAAACCATTCAACTATATGTTCTTTCTATATGTGCTGATCAACTTGTTATTATTTCTGGCAGTATATGTTCTTTTCCATTTATTTGCTGTGTTAGTTTCTGTAAAAGCTTCCTTTATTCTCTTAATTATTTTTTCTTTTTTTTTGAAAGAGATTGAGTTCATTACAGGAGCTGCAGCTGCTGGAGATCATGTGTAGCTATTTCCAAGAACAAAATAAAGATGCAGTTCGACAGATCATCTTCTCTGCGCTGTTTGCTCCTCAGGGTAATAAAGCAGATGAAAACAGATTGGCTATGTTGGGAAAACTTGTATCCATGGCAATAGCAATCTGTCGAGTTCCCATCTTGGAATGTACTGCATTATGGTTGCAAGTATGATCTATAATTTGGATTTCTATTTAAAAGTTCAGTATGTTTCAAAGTAATATGTTGTTCCATCACAATGAATAGAAGCAGTGTAATTTTTTTTCACGTTTGTACTATTTAGTTTTTATTATTTGATAGGGTAAGTGTTGGAGGAATAAACTGCAAGTTTTGCATTAGTGTTTGTTGATCGCATAAATGAGCAAAGCTCTGGTTACAAGCATAAAAAAATTAGTGCCTTGTATCTTCTTTTCTGCTTCGCTCATATTAAATCAATGGCCAAAAATGCCTGTGGATTGATTGGCCACTGTTTTATACATCATTAATTTTGAAATAAATATATTTGAAACTAAATATTACATCATTAATATTAATTTGTTTAATCTTGTGGCTGAAATGTTTGAAATTAAATCACAGTCTATTGTATTATTTTATAGATTTGTTCTAACGTTTGTATCTGTAACTGGTTTTATAGAGAACACATGCAGTATTCTGTGTAAGACTTGCTAAGGTCCTGACTGAGGATTATTGCATTTTGGTGCCAGGATCAGTGCAGACCTTAAAACGAATTGTTCATGCCAGCCCTCGATTCTGCTGTCAGTTGATCACTGCAGTTACTGCATTGTATGACCTTTCAACAGGTACAATTTTTTAAAATTGGTACATATTTTTAAGTGCCTGAATATAACTTTATTTTCGAAAAGTTCAAATGTCAGTTTTTCCCCACGTGATTTACACCCTTGTTCTTTTTCTATTCTTTAATATTTATACAACTTTATCCAATAATTTTCTCATTAGGCAGCATTTGACGGATATCTTCTCTCATTTGCTATCTATATTTTGCGTTTGTTTTGTTTGAGTTTGTTTTATTGTGTTCAATGTTCCCCATTGCAGGTAGTTCTTGCTCTGATTCCTGCTGTGTTTCTGAAGAAAACAATGGTGTTAGAGGGGTGTTTTCTAAAAATATACTTTTACATTTTGTTCCAGATGACCTAATTCCTCCTTATGATCTACTGGAGATGGTTGTATCTTGGGTGTATGATGATCCACGCCTGACACTGATTACATTTTTGAACAGTCCAGCTAGTCTACCACGTGGATTTTTGGAGCTCACACCACTTCCAGGCCTAATCCGTTGGTGTGTACTTGCACCTTTGGCCTACAGGAGGAACCACAAAATTTCTTCAGCTCAATCCTTGATAAATGGCAACGGCAATAAAATGTGCAAGGAGTTTGAAAATAATGTAAACGATGACTTCAAAATCCTTTATTCAAAGTTGCATCTGAGTGTTCTTCAGGTCCTTATGATACTTCAGGGCCATTTGACAGAAAAGAACTTGTATGGACGTTTGGAGCTTATCATGTTTGAACATGTAGATCGGCTTGTTGAAGACATTAACAAACTTGTTAAAGAACTCAATCTTTCAAATCTTGTGAAGGAGATTGAGCTTGCATTAGACAGATTAGCTCAAGCCCTGCAAGTCGGTATTGCATCAGGAGCACTATTGTGTACTAGAGGTAAGCAACTTGTGTGCAGAAGATTCATGGTTAGGCATCGTAAACAATAGGATGTTTGTTTTCAGTAATTAACTAAAATGCTTATAGCAAGTTGAATTCAATTTACTTAGTCTTTTACTTGATTCTTGACTGATTTAAAACAAAAAACAAAATGTTGACAATGCTTTACCACAGTTTGGTATGATACAAATGTCATAATTTCATTTGTCAGAATTTTCCTTAATGGTGAATTGAATTTTTGTTGAGTAGGCATAAGCTAAATCTTTTCCCAGAGAACTGAAAGACTGATTATCCAAATTAATGGCTAGCTCCAGAGTTACACTGGTACCAAATCTGGAAAGTTTCTGTTCACCACCCTCACCAGGAATTGATACGGTAGAGTGAATAAAAGCTCTCGAAGAAACTTGTTTCAAATGTAAATATTATTTGTATAATAAATTTTCCACTAATTGCTGTATTAAACAGGACTTAGATTTGAGACATCACTTGGCAAACTGCAAATTATTCACTCTCTCTTAGGTTGTTAGATTTCATATTTCTGCATGTTGGCATCCTGGCATATGTGGGTTTTTGTTTTACAATTTAATCCCATTTTAGCTTAGTGAGTTTTCATATCTTCTAATTTAAAGGTATTTTGTTCGGTCTATGGCCAAAGCTTATCATGTACTAATCTATTAAAAAGATTAAAAATTTTATTGAGTGGAATAAAACTTGAAGGTGATTAAAGCTCAAGAAATGGTGGATTTCAATCTTTGCAGTTAAAGCTTGCATTGTTAATTTTGAATGGGATAATATTATGGAGCTTTTATCATAGTTAGTTATGATTGCTGCACACTTTAGTCACCAAGTGATGTGTGGACCAAATTTGTCAAATTGAGTACTTTTCATCCAAGACTTTAGGTTCTTTAGTTAATAAGTTCAAAATAATAATAGTTTTTGTTTAGGCCAAAATTAAAAGTTACATATCTTGTACTTACTTTGTAAGAATATCTGATTTCATAGGCAAAGGGGACAAGAATAAGATTGTGTAAAAAAGCAATGCAGTTTATAATGTATGAAAGATTTACTTTAAAAGCATTGTGACCATTTCCTGTAATGTTTCTGTGGTATGATACCATTTCAAATTACAACTGGAACTTAAAATTCCACTGGTGATAATTATAAAACAAGAAAATTCTGAATATAAATATTCTCAATGTAGTAGAATCTGGCATGTTAATTGTTGAACTGGAACAAACTTTCCTGAAGTAACATATTTTCAATCTAAATCGGACAACTAATTTAAGTTTTTTTTAAAATTATTTTCAGTGAGTTATATTCATAAAATCAATCAACTTTGCTCTTGTATTACATAATTTATTTTCAAATAGAAACATAGAAAAACACAAACTCTAAAATCCAGTCATTGCAAAATATGTCAATTTCAAATATTATTGCTTGCTGACTGACCGACTAAATTTGATTATACATTGATTTGCTATATATTAATTTGTATTTGTCTCCTTAATTTTCCAGATGACTTACGATCAATTTGCTCTGTCCTTCCACATAACAAGTAAGTATGTAAATATTTTATTGATGAAGTTAATGGATCTATTCATGTCCTAGCTAAGCATTGTTCTAAGTTCCAAAGAACTTGAATTTCCTGTGGGGACATAACATGAAACAAGTACATGTAAAATTTCCCCCATAGTCTTAATATTCATTTCAAATAGGCCAATAACTGTTAAAATAGCAAAGTTCAAATGAACATGTTCAGCAAAAAAAAGTTAAAACTCCTCTATATATATCCATCATGGTAAATCCAGTATGTCATGTCAATGACTATTTCAGAACAAAAGAAATACAATATCCTAAGAGCTTTTATCATAGTTAGTTATGATTGTTCCACATTTTAGTCACCAAGTGATGCTTAATTTGTCAAATTGAGTACTTTTCGTCCAAGACTTGAGGTTCTTTGGTTAATAAGTTCAAAATAATAGTTTTTGTTTAGACCAAAATTAAAAGTTACATATCTTGTAATGATATTGTCTTTATTTGGCTATAGTGAATGCATTCATTAAAGTTTTTCCTTGTCGTTATCTGTTTTGCTGAGTGATTTCTCAATTAGTTCAGTATATTGACTGTGTGAGCTTACACTGTTATGATTTGGTTTCTTTGGTTTTTCCAAAGGATTTCAAATGTAACTAGAGATGGAATTCTTAGATATTATCGGGCAGGGATAGATTTATATAAATGAATATGAATATATTACAATTTCTTTACAGTTCATTACTGGTTTCAATGTTTAAAAAGGAATTCAAACTTTTGGACAATAGCTGAAGAGGATGAAATGACAAATTTAAGGTTTTAAAACTTGCTGTAACAGGTGACAAAAACCCCCACTGTTGATTAAATACATATTTTCCTTTTGTAGGCAGCGTTTTTGAATTTAAACTGTATAAAGTGACACTTTATGTGTCACTTGTATACTTATCACCCGTTGCACTCTCCAGAATTCCTGTTCCATTAGCAAACCACCCACTGTTGTTTCCAGCTTCTAATGGGCTCTTGTATCTCAGTTTTGCCAAGTTGTGACTTCAAATTACTGTCTCCAGGCTCTTGTTAGTTTCTTAAATCCACTACCAGCAGTAAAGCTATTCCTTTTATTATTCTTCCCCTTGCCTGCTGGGTGAATGTCCCAGAATCTTTAGAAGGCTGCTGGATGCATTTATTGAACTAGAGATCATCTTTCTCCACACTGATCTGGGATAGCTTGCAAAACCCTGCTGCACTGAATGCATTGCTGTCAATGGTAATCATTGATTGTAAAGAAACCTGAAACCTGATCTCAAAAATAGCTTCTTCTGTCCTCTTTGCCCATGCCAACATGAAGCACATTAAGTGTATTTCTTATTAAAAGTAAATAGGCAGTTTACACAGCTGTTTACAACCAGGTACCATCAATACTTTTCTGAGAGTTTTGGGACATGCGGATTTAAATGCTCAGTTTCCTAATGTAGTAGAATCTGGTATATTAGTCATTGATCTGCTTGTTTAAAATTCATAATGGTGCTATTATCTCCCGAGCATTAATGCTGTGCAGCAGCTTCTTAGTAAAGCAACATTGAGCCTTCCTTTGATGTCAAACAATCAAATCACTTAGGCCTTACTGTCAAGCAGAATGCAAAACAGGTCACACAACTATCATTGCTTACTCTAAATTTAAACGTACAGTTCTGAAGCATCATCTGACAAACGTTAATATTTTAACTAGTATGTTTCTTTACTGTGAACTCAATAAAAAAGCAGTATCTGTGAACAGAAACAGCTGTTATGTGAGAGGTAAGTCAGAGGAACAGCTGTTCATAGTTTTCTGTTGGTTGTGGAGGAAACCAGGCTGTTTCTGTGGATTGTTTTAGTCAATTATTACTTTTGATTATGTGTGTTGAGTTAATGAATCATTTTTGAGGCTTAAAACATTTTTTCATAAAATTTAGAAATTGTAAGCAATGAACCTTGCACATTTATGGCATAATTTCTACTCCTTTATGGCAACTTGTGTTTATTAAAGACTGCATAAGTCAGCAGACACAGTGACTTATGCTCATGGTGTACATCAGGATTGTGTATCAGTACATTGCTGACCCCAAACTTGTGAATTTCTGTCCGTTAATATTTATAAGCAGAAAATTTACTGTTAAAATCCTAGTGATAGGAACCAACTGGTGATTGGAAAATGTTGATAGGGCTACCTAAGCCAAACTCTGAAATGCTTCCAGAAGTTGAGAATTCCTTACCTATTGCCCCTAGATTCCAAATCTTTCTCCCACTGATTCCAGATCCAAAGCATACTGCATTCCTAGAATCTTTGCTTTCATTATTCTTTGGAGCCCAAACCCAGTGATCTCGACTTCAGGAGTTCTTTCTATTACTACATTTTTTGATGGTATCCAAGTATGATTGATGGAGGCTTTTATTTTCTTTGTGCAGATAGTTTTCCTATATAACGCGGTAGTTCTTGTGTGACCTCGCGCTATAGAAAATTGCGTTATAGGGAAATCGCTATAGAAAATTGCTATACTGTACAGCAGAAAGTTTGCGTTATCCAAACAGCGTCTATTAGTCAAAAATCATGTTACAGCCAATTCATGTTAATGAAACATGCGTTCCAGCAGAACTACCTGTACAGTATTATAAATTCCCAGAACTCTTCAGTGGATTTCTGAAAAATAAGGTTCATCTCTACCAATGATTATGATTCTATTAACAATGATGTATTTTCAATGTAATGTCCCTTTGATTCCTGTTCCCTATAATAAATATTTAACAGCACTTCTGTCTGGGAAGCCTTGGTTTACTACACTGCAAATCTGTACAGCATTAGTATTAAAGTTGTAATTCAGTATGAACTTAACATGCTATAAGCACAAAATCATCCAATAGAAATTGCTGACTAACCATTGTGGCTACACGTACTAACTTTAGTCCATAAACTAACTTTAGTGGAATACTTAATACATATAAATGTGCATTTACTGAACAAACCTTTTCCTAAAATGCTTTAACCAACAAAGTAAAGAAATTAATGATTGAAAACCACATGCACGTTCTGCAGCTCATCTTTTCGTTTCACTAACACAATACGCAAACATTACAGTAGATCTGTTATATGCCGTACAAGTAATAGAATTGGTATCACATATGTAATGACAGTTTCTATTACTGATTTTTATTTACTAACCAGAAGTTCATTGTAGCTAATGTATTGAGTGATACTGATCTTACCAAATGCGCTAGATATATTTCATCACTTACTCTGTATAATTATTGTTAAAATGTCCGATTCAAAGAATAGCTAATTAAGTCAAGTCAAGAAGAAAGACCTTTACCCTGCTGTTTTTAAACTTTATTCTGTTTTCTTAACAGCTTGCTTCAATTAGTCCTTACAGGACCAGTACAACAGTCTCCACATACAGCATTGCCACCAGGGTTCTATCCACACATCCATGCATCATCTGCTGGATATCCCATGTATTCTACCCATCCAGTGCAGACATATATGCCGGGTATGGCTTTTTCATATAGACCAATGCGATAAACGATTGGCTATTACACTGAATTTGATTGGATATACCTCCCTTTGGAATATATACTTATGGATTCAAACCAATTGTGGAAAATAGTTTCAGTACTGTTTTTTTAACTGAAATTTGTACTATCAGTGAAGATAAAATGGATTTATTGAAACCTGCGCATTTATATTTCTTATGGATATTTACGAATTTTTATGTTCAAAGGTAACATGAGTGAGACTTTTTCACATTTAGGAAGCTATCACAATTTTAAAAAAGCGAAGGTTTTTAATTACATCCATTTGTTAATTATCTGTAACTTAATATTGTTTACTTGCCTATATTGTTAAATTACATTGTCTACAAAACCTTTTTATAAAGGAGTGAATTAAAAACTGTGCTGTGTTCTCTTCTCTGACTACTAATTCTTTCTGTAATAATATCTGTTGGGTGTTTCATAACTCCTGTATTGTTGGAGCATTTTGCATTGATATTTACATAGTCAAAAAGCAATGAATTTGTCACTCGTCTCTTGGAAGAAAATAGTTTGAGTGGATTCATGAGTTACAATACATACTTTGATGAAACTGGTGAGTAATGCTGTAGTTTTGGAATGAAGATGACAATTCTAAAGACCTAAACATCATTATTGATCAGAGAACTTGCACAAAATGAGCAGAATCAGTTACCCCATAAACAAGGAAAATAATGGATTTCTCAAGTAGTGTCTCTGTCAAGGTCCTTTGGCATAATAAAACAATCTATTGCAACCATAAAATCTCTTACTTGAAATTTGAACCTATCCGAACATTTTACTTTCTACAGATACTTAGACTACTGTCAATTCATACTCATGATTTCTGAAAAGCAACTGAAACTAGAAAAACACATTTTTACTGTGACACAGTGTGGAGCTGGAGGAACACAGCAGGCCAGGGCAGCATCAGAGGAG